ACTTAACAAAGATGTTATACACTTAAACTATTTCTTTTGGCCTGATGGTAAGCCAATTATTTTACAAAATGTTGAGATGTGTGTGATATGTCAACCACTTTTACATAATTTCGCTGAGTCTTGTAAATTGTCAGAACCCTGTCCACAATCCTCTAACACTGAATCACCTTATCTTATCCTCCTTAAATGAATAAAATGTATGTTAAACAGTTTGATGTGCGTTGCCTTTTTTGTGACAGTTATTAATTTTTTTTTACATTCTGATATTATTATTAATATATTAACGACAACATTAATTTGATTTTTATAATCTAAATTCCTAATATTTGCAGCCCGGAGGACTGCACTGCTTTATACATATAAGTTAAAGTAACTGTTTTGGTGTATGGAAATTGAGCTGGAAGAAGTAATTCAGAATCAAAGATGCGCTATATATTTAAAAGATTCTACATCAGAATGTCTATCCATATAGTACATCTTTAAAAATATTAATGTTTTTTCATAAACTTGCCCATCATTAACTATATAAAAAATTACAGGTCCCCATTTTAAAATATCAAATTTTACTTATAGCATAAAAAAAAGTTACACAGTTCGTGTTTCACAATAATGCAGTCAAAAGCATTTTTGAAAATAGATGAAACATGGGTTTGATTTTTATTAATATTTTATGCAGTCAACAATTAATTAAGGAATGAATAAATTTAAAAGGGTTATTTTTGTTCAATCCTCATCCAACAAATAAGCTTTGTAAATCTTCTGTATTGTCGTCTCAATCAGACGCTTGTCTTTATCACGCATATTGAGGCGATTTGATGATCAAGACTGATTTCCATTTATTTCAGTTATTTCTCGGTCGACAATTGATAAGTACATCAATGTTTTCTTGTTAGAACTTAGACATAATCGAAAAATCATGAAAATGGGTTTAAAAAGGTTAAAATGAAAAATAAAAATAATAATATTTGGCAGCGATGGGTCGTAAGGAGGTAAATAACAAACTTGAAAACATCCGTCTGCCAAGTTTGTAGGTGGAAGAAGAGGTAGAGTGACCCTCCGAGGGTAAAGAAGTTTGTATTTCTTAGATTTTGATTGGTCAATATCTGCCTCCATAAAGTCATAAAACAAACTGAGCATTATAAATCAAAATTTCAAATTTTAACATAAAAGGAGGGCAATTACTGATGACAATAACTGAACTAAAATTAATTTAAATTTTATAATAAATTTAAAACCCACGAAATTTGTAAGAAACTACTAACTTTCGACTATTCAAGGGGTTAAACAAAGAAATCAATCATCAATAAAAAATGAAAGATTTATTTTGAAAAGAATTTAATGATCTGGCTATGTTTGAAAAGAGATGGGGTTTTCTCTCTGCATTGTTTTTAAATGTTGATTAAAATTACACCTGTTTACTATCTTTATTACTTATCAGTTTGACAATTTTTCTATACCTAAACCCATTGGATGAATGAGGTTGAAAAGAATTTGTTTACTTAATATAGATCAATACTATGCAGAAAAAAAAAATAAAAATAAGTAAACATCTGCATATTATTGGTTTATATCAACAAAAAATTGTCCAAGGGAATATACAGTGTATATGATATCTAACGTTTGTAAGTTTGGTGAAAACAGGCATCCCCCACCTTGACACTTTTCATTGGATCTTAATGTACCTATCCTATAAAACGACAACTAAAAGGAACTTTGTTACCTCAACTTCTTTTCAATAAATTCTCCCTAGAGAACCAAAATTATTTCTTTGTATAATTATTATCCCATCCAACTTTTTCATTACACATGCATGTTTCATTGTATACAACAAAGCGATGTTACTACATGTCACAACAATCTGCACTTTTAATGAAATAATTTTATTTTTCAAGCATACCCCAAATTCAACCCACTAAACTTAATCTAGTAACAAAACTTGATTTACAGTAACAGAACGAATCAACGTTGAGACGTGATTATCTTAGGATGTTTCTTTAATTGAGTTTTCAATTTTCTCAAAGAAAGTGAAAAAAATTAGAAGAGTAAAACATTCCAATAATACGGTAACTTTAGATGTGTTCTCTATGTTCTAAAGTTTGTCATAATCTTGGCAGAAAACAACTCTTCAGAGCTGCGTCCGTTGTTGCTTTACCCGATTTTTATAAAAAAAAAATTCCCAAATAAATAGGTGAGTGGTTATTGACAGACTGTTACGATTACAAGACCAAGAAGGAGGAAAAAACATCCAGAAAATAATGATAGCTGATTATGGATTTTGCTTTAAATTATCTATGCTTTGTATTAGACAAAGGTTTCAGCATTAAGCATTTTATGTTATGAAAATTCTATGTCCTGTTAATATTTTTTTATAAGTTTAACATAGATCCTACGTCGTATGACATCATAACTAGTTAACTAGTAGCCTGGTTCCCTGTCCCTGTTTTGCTTCGTATACTCCGCGTCACTAGGGTGAACCAGGGGACCAGGCTAGTGAACTAGTAGATCCATTATGACGTCATAATTAATTCAATGTCACTTTTCCCCGTACTTTACAGATTCAATAGAAATGGTAGAAAATACTGTTTTTTTTTTTAAATTGACAGAATTCATTGTGAAATCATACCGAAATAATCTGAACTTTATTGATATATTTTTTGGTTAAATTGCTTAATGACAATATATGTCTGGTATTAGAGAAACCTGTAGGCACCTTTCATTTACTAGATCTTGGCCTTAATGAAGTTTACAAATCCAAGATTATCTTGTGTAATAAAATTACAATGTACATAGTATACAACTTACTGTAAAATGTGAATGGTATGTAACTATTTTGAAGGAATGCAAAAATCCTAAGAAATTTTCAGTTGTCAACCAAATAGTGTAATATCTTGATGAAATGTGTCTAAGTCGAAGATGTACGTGTTGTAGATTGTGTGATCGTGTGCACATTTTTGTGATATCTATCTTGAAATGATGTGCATTCCTTTTTATAATTATTTGTTACTTATTCATATTTTTGGTGTTTTATTACAATTTTTCTATTGAATATGATCTTTTTAAATTAAAAGAACAGTTTTAGATAAACAATTTTAATCTGAAAGTAACCCCAAACAGTCATTTAATAATCAAATCCCGTGTAAGTGCAAAAAGGTCAAGAATATTAGTATCGGTAAATTACATGTACCTATCTCTTATTAGTTAGAGGGGAATGGTATATATTTTAAACACTTTTGATAGTCGTTTTGGTATGTTCTTCATCATATTAAAGTTTGAAAACATTGTGACAAAGACTTCCAAAAAATATTGACAAATTTAGGGTCGAAAATTGACTAAAAATAATAGAGTTCATTTAACTATATTTTCTTAAATGTGCACTAAGCTTTTATGTTGATGGAATAAAAAAAGAATTCATTACTGGGAAATACTGTTTTAAAACTGTTCAGTTATAAAGTCAACGATCGACGATCTTTAAATAAGTATTTTTGAGATTTTTCATATTCTCTTTATGACAAGTACCACTAAAAATAACTGAAAATGTGTAGCCGCAGTATGTAAATACCATTCCATGTTTCGAAGGCTGCACTACATTTAATAACAAGGAAACATGTCATGTGCTTTTGGGTAATTGATAAGCGAGTGCTAATTTATCATTTTGAAAAGTTTGAAAATCTTGTGACAAAGACTTTTCTGACATAGGTTCTACCTCAAACTGATTTGTTTATTGGTATTTACGCAAACATTACATGATAAATGCATTTTTTATCTTAAATACAGTGAAAGACAGTATTTCATTTTTGTCAGAGATTTCTTTCATTTAAGTATTATTATTATGGAAATGATTGTATATTTAAAGTCATATTAAGATCATGAGATTTCTTCACTTCGGTGTGCACCATACAAATATTAGTCGGGTATTTAAACATAAGGTGAATCCAAGGACGCCATTATATATATTTGGGAAACACCTAACTGTTAGATGATGGAAAACATATGTAGGGGATATATTTAGAGACGAGGAGAGAAGCAATATTATGGTAATTAATGTCAAGGAATCTATTTTAAAATATTGTCTTTGAAAATATGAATTTTAAAAGATAAACAAAAATTTAGTTTCGTTTTAACATTCATTACAAGTTATCACATAGCATTTTAGAAGGTAATAAAAATAAGATTAAGAATAATTTGACTCATGTAAAAAAATCATCGCTGCTTTTTGAAAGATATATTTTAATTATAGTGATAGAGGTATGATTTACCTCGAATTAATTGTTAAAATAGCAATAATAGGGCACCTTGACACAGACTGCTTTTTATGAAATATTCGCTAAGGTCTACGTAACAGTGTACATTGTTTAATTACAAAGATAAGTGTTGTGTGTAACTTCTATTCAGATTATGCATTTTATCATAGTTTTATTGTTGAACCTCATCTCAGGGTATCCAAAGTGCATATCTCCTTTTTGAATCAAGGCATTCTGAAAACAATTTACATGCTGCATTAATGTATAGTCGTAGTGATAAACCGGTACGTGTTTAGGAGTTTTTTCTTACCCCTTCCCCCTCTCTCTCAACTAGGTTATAAAGAACATTAGACAAGGAATTCATATATGTCATTTCATATACATAATAATTAATATTAGAAATTTAAATTGTTATTTATTATTTATATCACATATGTATTAAAAGCGAGCATTGATCGATCTGAAAAAAATATAAGTACACATTTACACATTGTGAAGTAGGTATACAATACAGACCCTGTTTGGAAGTTAAGGGGTGGGATTAGGTCCCTTAAAAAGGTAGGTACCCTCTTTTCACTGGTCACACAAGCTCCGCGCGCTGCATGTGCGTATTGAAAAGGCCGACAGAACCATCTGTAGTGAAATTGAGATAAAAAAAAATAATAATATGAATACAAAATCAACATAATACTAGCTAGACCTACATTTCGGTACATTTTACCTTTTAAATTATGAATTTGTTTGTAGCGTTCAAACACTATGGACAAGATAGTCGACAATTGTCCCAGAAACTTGACAGAGACAGACGAAGCCTCCACAAGATTGGGCTGTGGTCGTGACAAGTATGGAAATGATCAGTATATGTGTCTACCTAATATAGAGACAACAAGTCTGGTAGAATTCTGTCACGATGGTATCATGGGCTTTATAGAGAGTGGTGAGTGTTATTTTAGGAAATCCTATTAATGTTTACAATTTTAACAGAGGCTATTCAAATTGCATTTTTTATGTCAAATACATGTATAATATAATATAATGCGGTGTCAAGAGTGACAAAACACAAAGGGAAATCCAAGCGCGCGTTTAATTTGTTTATTTAATTATGCCACATTTTTGTTTTACAAAAAATATTTAAATAATTCAAAAATCTTAAAAAAGTCTTTTAAAAAACCAGATATTATTTTTTCAGATGTTGTATTATGTACAGTCTAATCAAAAATAAATGATTTAGTATAATAGAATGATAGATCTGTTCCTAACAATTATAAAACGAGTTATTGTTTTTGTTCGTTGAGCGCATTATGTATTACTGTACAAAACACTTCATGGTATGGCACCAACATATTTAAGAGACTCCTTTGAATTTATTTCCTCTAATAGTTATGTTCTACGATCTGAAACGAACTATGACCTTCATCTACCAAAATATCGAACAAATCAATTTAAAAATTCTTTTCATTATTCTGGAGTTCATTTATGGAATAAATTACCTTTGCATATCCGTTTCTCACCAACTGTACAAACTTTTCGTAAAAATGTAGAAAAATTCATTATAACATGTAGAAACTAAAAGTTATATAATTTCATGTTCTTGAATCAATCTGTATATGTACATATTTTTTTCACGTCATGTTGTATTATCTATTATAATATTGTACGATGTTTTTAATATTGTGTTATTGTGAATGTGTTTAGAGGGCCCCGAGGAAGACTAGTGCATTGCACTAATCGGGTTACCCTCTTTAAATAAAGTATTATTATTATTATTATTATTATTATTATTACTATTATTTTTTTTTGGAGGGGGGGGGGCTGAAGGTTCTCAAATGTGTATGTTTTCTGCAAATTACAGGACATAGAAATTTATTTTACAAGGCTTGTTTTCAATCCTTGAATTCTAAGATCAAACTTTGAAATAAGAACTGAAAGCATTTTTGCCTTTACATATACTCCATAGTGATGTTTGAATCGTACATATCAAATAAATTTTATATCAACAGAGCATTTAACCAAGCAAAATGTATATCATTTTTTGGCAAGCAATTTGAGTTTATCCCGCTGTTAATCCTTTTAAACGTTTGAATCTATTGTATATCTTTTAGTAATTTTCAGGTAATTGTTTGAAGACTGCAGAGGATAAACTGTTTGCACACAAATGCTCCCATTTCGTTTCGGGCTGTCCAGATGTCGACTTCCGCAGTAACGAAATCTTCAAATGTAAGGAACATTTCCTTCACAATATTCAAATTCATAATGCTGACATCATTACACCGTGACTTACGAATTACCGAAATATTATTTGAGATGTGATTTCATTTTATCTTATCTATTTTGATTGACATCAGACCCTGCTTGCCTAAGAATTGATACGGGACATCGTTGTTATCTTGCTGATCCATCATGTCCAAATACGTAAGTGATCGTGTATTTATTGATAAAATTAGGAATCATAATGCATGTAGTAAGTATATTTTAATAAACTCTTTTTTCCCAAATCAGCCCATTGAAGTTTACAACAAATAATGTTATTGTAAACACAACAGCAATGAATATTCAGACAACCTCATATCCAAAGGATGACTCAGAACAAATGTGGGAAATCGTGGGAAGTCTTGTTGGTGTATTGACTCTTATTCTCCTACTTATAATAGTGAGGTTTGTATGGAAAAGAATGCACAGGCAAAAAAAAGAAGAAAGAGATAAATTTCCAAGTATGTTTTTTTTTCTCTTAGTTGTAGTAAAATAACATTTGTTAACAACTTAAAATTAATGTTTTATTCAAAAATAATAATTTAAGATGTTAAGCAATATTTAAAAAACACTCTTTTCTTAAGTCAAAATATGAATTGTTTTATGAACAATATTTATCGATGAAAACGTGATCTTTTATTCTTTTTAGATGAAGAAGAAATATTGTTAAAAGATGAAAAGGAAAAAGACGAAGGTTAATTAAATTCTAAGATAAATACTTTAATAGTTTTGAAAACAGTTTAATAACTTTTTTACGACATAGGGTAAAAAATGATTTATAATAGTGCTATAAAATATGGAAAGCCGTAGGGTACCCCCACATTATTATTATATTTTCCTATATATCTATACCAAAAATAATTATGTCATCCAAACTTGCTTTTTACAACATTATTATTATTTTCCTGCAACAATTATAATCTTGTCTGTTAAATGTGTACACATTATTATTATTTTGTCCTACAATTATAATGATTCACTTCACAATAATAATCTTGCAAGTCAATGTGGACACATTATTATAATTTTTTGCCTCATGATTATAATCTTGTCAGTCGATGTTTTAAAACATTATTTTTATTTCAGCTCAAAATTATAATAATTATTCTTACTTTTAACAATTATAATCTTGTTTGCCCGAGCGAACACATTATTTTTATTTCGCTTCAAATTTATAATAATTATATTCCACATTCGATCATATAATCTATCTCTCCAACAATAATAATCGCGACCAAAAAAGTTGCAACATTATTATTATTTAGACGCTTGAAATCAAACGTTTGTGTGATTTTGATGTACTGAACAATTATAATCTTGTCAGATTTTCTTTGGGAAAGATTATTATTATTTGGACGCTTGAAAAAGTAAACGTTTGTCTGCCGAAGACAATCACGTGGTTTAAGACCATGTGCTTCCCTGATCAACAGTGCCGAGTACGGCGCCAGTGAAAGGCAGGCGGTTTGCCGGTAAGTAAAGATGATTTTGCTATATTAATGTACAAGGAAGTGAATTCCATTCATTCGATAAAGGAAATGTCTCAGAAATCAGCTGTCAGTATGCTGTTATTAAACGACAGCTTCGGAAGAACTAGTTCGAATTATCTCTGTACTTTTGTATAGGAGATTGAGATTGCATCAATGCATGCCATTGCATTGTGAATTTATGTTCCAAATCTAGATAAAGTGGCGTTAAATTGAATGATATATCTTTACGAACAGTTTATGCTTGTATTTTACAGTTTAGCTTGAATTTTCTCTGCAGTAAGCCATTTTAGGGCATTTACGTTGATTCTTACTGTTATTAGAAACTCTGATAAACGACTATTGATGATTTCATATATTGATTTGTCTTGATTTCCTGATTTTATGAAGTTATCTACTATTGGACCAAAACTTTTCTCTTAATATAACAGCAAACTCCTATGTATGTTTGTTGTTTAACACAGGCAGAGATCTAGACATTCTCCACAGGAGTCGGCAATTTTATCAATAAATAGAAAATAAATGGTAAACAGGCATAAATCCTACCAGTGAGCTTCGCGAGCGTAGCGAGCGAAGCGACAGGATGGCAACGAGTTTTCTCGATTTTCTCTAAATCGCTGTCCAGCCAACATCAAACTCCACAAATCAACTTCGGAGTGTCCAGTAAGTAATTCCTAACATTTTTTACCATTCAACTACCCTTAATTATCTCCATAACCACACTTTTTCACATCTCGTTTACAACCAGCGGCCATTGACAATCTGCGTGACGTCACAACCACTGCAGCAAATAATAAATAATCATTTTGGGTCTCTTTTATTGTGTTTTCGGCATTAGTAATTGATTTTTAAAAATCCACTTACTGAACAGAAGCTCCAAAATTGCTGGACATCTTCAATTGTCTTGAATCACTAATAAAAAACGACTGTCACTCTTTGTTTTTATATTTCCCACAAACGAAAGTAGACGATTATCTCCCTTTCTTTTTGAATCAACACATTCCAATTTCTATTAAGGGATAGAGTTAGTAAATGTTTTTTGAGTTATATAGACATCAAAAAATAAATAAAAACTTAATCCATTGGTAAAAAAATTTTTAAAAGCATATTTATTAATTTGATGAATTATTATTTGCTGCAGAGGTTGTGACGTCACGCAGATTGTCAATGGCCGCTGGTTGTAAACGAGATGTGAAAAAGTGTGGTTATGGAGATAATTAAGGGTAGTTGAATGGTAAAAAATGTTAGGAATTACTTACTGGACACTCCGAAGTTGATTTGTGGAGTTTGATGTTGGCTGGACAGCGATTTAGAGAAAATCGAGAAAACTCGTTGCCATCCTGTCGCTTCGCTCGCTACGCTCGCGAAGCTCACTGGTAGGATTTATGCCTGTTTACCATTTATTTTCTATTTATTGATAAAATTGCCGACTCCTGTGCATTCTCGGGGGTGGGGGTCCATGTAAACTCACCCAAACTTCAAAAAACTATTTTGTGTTGGGGGGGGGGGTAGTTGATGACTTCAATCCTTTGAATTTTCATACCAATTTAACAAAAAATTCGCATTTACCAGGGAGTTTTGCATTTTCCGAGGGGGAGTCCAAGGTAACTTTTTTTCTTGCTTTAGTATATAAATTTAATAACTTTGCAAATTCCATGGGGGGTCCTCCCTCCCCCCCTCTAGATCAATGCATGGTTTTAACGTCCCTGTCGAGACTTTTTCACTCATATGGAGACGCACCACTTATAAGTGGAGAGCTTCAAGTTTTGACCAATACTCGGCACTCAGGGCTATTGAACAGTGAGGGATCTTTTTCGTGCCAGCACCTACTGTGACATGGGACCTCGATTTATATGGTTTCATCCAAAAGACCTGTCTACACGTCCCACAGTGGGATTTGAACCCAAACCCCTTTCTCAACTCCTTTCTCTGCAACTCTAAGAGCAAAAGCTCTAACCACTGCTCCATATGGGCGACCCTATGTTTGTTATCAAGAGCAATGTTATTGTTAAAATTTACTATTTACTGGGTGTGTTCAATAAACTGCACAATAAATCACTATACAAACATAACCAGGAATCACTCATGTATTGGATTTGTTTTTAGCTCACCTGCTCAATGATAAAAAAACAATTTTCAATATTCTGTTTTTCAAGCCACAGCTGCCATTAAAAGAGTCAATTGAAAAATTCTTAATATGAAACATTTCAGAAAATATTGAAATTCTACATTTTTTGTTCGATCTTCAGTTACCATGAGAAATAGAAAATATGTTGTAGTTTTTAGCTCACCTGAGCCAAAGGCTCAAGTGAGCTTTTCTGATCACAATCTGTCCGTTGTCTGTCGTCGTCGTCGTTGTTGTCGTTGTTGTTGTTGTCGTCGTCGTCGTCGTCGTTGTAAACTTTTCACATTTTCATGTTCTTCTCAAGAACCACTGGGCCAATTTCAACCAAACTTGGCACAAAGTATCCTTGGGTGAAGGGGATTCAAGTTTGTTGAAGTGAAGGGCCACGCCCTTTCCCAAGGGGAGATAATCATGAATTTGTTAAAAATTAACATTTTAAAAAAATCTTCTTCTCCAGAACCACTGGGCCAGGAAAGATGAAACTCATGTGGAAGCATTCTCAGGTAGTGTAGATTCAAGTTTGTTCAAATCATGACGCCCGGGGCAAGGGTGGGGCCAAAATGGCCGACCCAAGTTTTACATAGGAATATATAGGAAAAATCTTTAAAAATCTTCTTCTCCAGAACCACTGGGCCAGGAAAGATGAAACTCATGTGGAATCATCCTCAGGTAGTGTAGATTCAAGTTTGTTCAAATCATGACCCCCGGGGCAAGGGTGGGGCACAAATGGCCGACCCAAGTTTTACATAGGAATATATAGGAAAAATCTTTAAAAATCTTCTTCTCCAGAACCACTGGGCCAGGAAAGATAAAACTCATGTGGAATCATCCTCAGGTAGTGTAGATTCAAGTTTGTTCAAATCATGACCCCCGGGGCAAGGGTGGGGCCAAAATGGCCGACCCAAGTTTTACATAGGAATATATAGGAAAAATCTTTAAAAATCTTCTTCTCCAGAACCACTGGGCCAGGAAAGATAAAACTCATGTGGAATCATCCTCAGGTAGTATAGATTCAAGTTTGTTCAAATCATGACCCCCGCTGGGGCTAAAATGGCCGACCCAAGTTTTACATAGGAATATATAAGAAAAATCTTCTTCTCAAGAACCACTGGGCCAGGAAAGATGAAACTCATGTGGAATCATCCTGAGGTAGTGTAAATTCAAGTTTGTTCAAATCATGAGCCCCGGGGCTAGGGCGGGGCTAAAATGGCCGACCCAAGTTTTACATAGGAATATATAGGAAAAACCTTAAAAAATCTTCTTCTCAAGAACCACTGGGTTAGGAAAGATGAAACTCGTGTGGTATCATCCTGAGGTAGTGTAGATTCAAGTTTGTTCAAATCATGACCCCCGGGGCTAGGGTGGGGCCAAAATGGCTGACCCAAGTTTTACATAGGGATATATTGGGAAACCAATATATTTAAAATCTTCTTTTCAAGTACACTGTACTTCAAAGCCATGATTAGTGATATTTATATGGAATCATCCTAAGGTAGTGTAGATTCTAGTTCAAATCATGAACCCCTGGGGGTTAAAATTCACCCCCCCCCCATCACA